ATACGCGGCTACTACTGATTCATTGTACTGACATTTATGCACGTGATATACTGAGCAAGTGACATGTGATTCACTGAGCACGTGATATCGATTACTGGGTTGCATATGATTTATTGAGCAAGTGATAAATAACTAGAATTTGCAAGTGTATGTGGGTATGCTGTGGTACGATTCTACTACATTGATTCGACTGATGTTATAGACTGATGTGATAGATAAGATGACTACTGTAGAGATTTGACGCACATATTGATTCATTGAGCTTCATGGGATTTTCTACTGTTCACTGATTCTATCACTGATGATTTTGGATTCTATTGTTTATGCATTGATTTCTGTTTCTGTACTTATTTCCGTATCTGCGTCGATTTAATGATCATGTGCAAGTGGCTGATATTGATTTGATCGATTGATATGCATATTGCTTTCGTATCGTGCTTTGATTTCAGTTATACGCTTAGGTGACCTGCTGGGCTATTTAAGCTCATTATATGTGGTTAACAATTTCAGGTCATAACAAGGGAGCAGGAAGTGATGGTTGATCAAGACTGTCGACGAATCCTTTCACTATGGATGCCTGGGGTGTCGCAAACTCAAACTATATTATTCTTAATTGAATGAATAATTGATGAAAAATTGCAATTAATTTTAGAATTTTTGCTACCCTAAGTCAAATTGATATGTCTAACCTTACAAATACCTCCAATTGATCAATATCCATTCCCAACTATGAAGAGCATCATTGGTAATTATTTAATATTTTTTATAATTATCATCTAAGGTTGAAAAATCATAAAGAATGCCAAATAATTTTGTAAAATTTTAAAAATACTAAAATAGTTTATAATGTTTAATGTTTGAATTTTGACTTTGGGAAGCTCAAAATAAGCCTTTTTTACGTTTCCGCATTTTAATTCTTAGTCTTAAAAACTCTGTGGTTGAAAAACTTTTTCTACAAAACTTAAAAGAAACAATTTTTATTTCGGTTCAACATAATTTTAAAAGAGGGCTTAAAATTTTTAAACTACCAATTCACTCCCACTCTTGGTAGCCTTTGGGACATTAACTTAGGCTTAACAACCTAATTACTAGACTCAACATAAACCTCAAGTGGATAGTCAAAGTCAAACTATATTATTCTTAATTGAATGAATAATTGATGAAAAATTGCCATTAATTTTAGAATTTTTGCTACTCTTACAAATACCTCCAATTATCAATATCCATTCCCAACCATGAAGAGTATCATTGGTAATTATTTAATATTTTTTTATAATTATCATCTAAGGTTGAAAAATCATAAAGAATGCCAAATAATTTTGTAAAATTTTAAAAATACTAAAATAGTTTAGAATGTTTAATGTTTGAATTTTGACTTTGGGAAGCTCAAAATAAGCCTTTAATATGAAATTAATTAAGATTTGTATATTTTATTATTAAAAGAGATATTTCAATAATAAAAATATATAACATGATGCATATACATCTAATGCACTTGAATTTTTAAGCACATGCCCATGCACATGTAATAAACATTCACAAATATTTTAGATTTTTATTCCCATAATTATGGCTAAAATTAAAATAATTAGGAAAAATGTCAAATAAATTTGAAAATATCCAAATAACTTGGAATTTGTTTAGAGACATTCAAAATTATATTCAGAGAGAAGTTTATGCATGGATGAAGCGATTAAAGCATGAAATTTTATTTTTTGTTCAATTATCTTAGTTTACAAATTAGAAAAATAGGTTTTTCCAAATTGGAAACTTGAAAGTGCTTAATGATTTTGGAAAACCATGCAAATGCATATTAAGGTTAAAAAAATTATATTTTCGAACCTCAAATTTTTTATTAATTTGTTGTATTTTCATATATTTAATTATTAAAATATTAAATATTTCTATTATAAAAAAAAGGAAATCACCTTAAAAAAATTTTATAAAATTTAGTTATACTTTAAATAATGAACCTCTCTTATTGGATGCATATTGTGATACTATGAATAGTAAAATAAGTTTTTTTTTAATCGCCTAATGAAAGCTAATAATCACTATGCCAGGGTAGAATTATTTATGGCATAAAATGATATGCTTAAGGTCACAAATGTATTTGGGAAGTTTCTAAAGTTATTTGCTATTTAAATGAATTAACATAATAGGTATTTAATTTTTAAAATTTATAAATTAATATCAAATTGAATAGGGTGTATTTTTACTGGATTCCTTGCATTCAATTGTGTCTCAAATTAAAATTTCATTAAGTTTGGCTGAAGGGTTAGTCCATTACAAAAATCCAAACTTACTCCCTTTAAATCAATCAAGAAATATTCTCAAACACTGGATTTTATTTAATTCTGGCAGATGGTAGATATTGTGTCTTACCTTTCCCATCATGCAAAGAACTAGAGGATGGGCTTCTTTGGACCAAGCTAGGGGTGCAACTGAGTCAAGGCAGCTCGCGAGCTGACTTGAGCTTGATTTGATTATGGGCTCAACGAGTTGAGCTTATCAGACTCACGAGTCGAGCTTGAACACTATTTTTGAGCTTGACATGCATCTTATCAAGCTCGAGCTCGTCGAGCAGCTCGCAGATGAAATCAATTGCGAGAAAGTGAAAGCAGACGTGGGAAAGATGATGGCGACGGATGCAAACGGACACGGACTGACATGGACGCAAACTCACAATGGACACGGGCAAAAGCTGGAGATGGAGGACGGACGTGAATGCTGGCAACATGAGAAGCTATCGATGGATGGAAACTGACGACTGAGAGACGCTAATGACGCGAGAAGCTTGTGACAGACGCAGACACTGGAAGCGACGGTGATGGATGCTGGCACGACGGACGGACTAAGCTTGAACACCACTCGAGCATCTCGACGAGTTTTTTCTTTCCTTTATCGAATCGAGCTCAAGCTCAACTTTTGAGCTTGACTTGAGTTTGAGCTCAAGCTCGGTATTTGACAGTCGAGCTCGACTTGAACTCCCTTAGACTTGAGCTCGACTCGTCTCATTTTCACCCATAGACCAAGCCAACCTGGCATCTACCCTAGGGGAATTCTCCCTTTCTAGAGGTAGAAATTATTGGCTAGCTCTCGCTCGGTTAGATTTAGGACATCTATGACTAGCTAAGGTTGTCCTCAATGGACCTAACCCAGCCCTAAAAAAACCCATAGTCCAACTACCCTATAAGCATCTATGAGTGTATAATTTCCATGCATGAATGATCACACATGATATACATATTCTCTCAGCTTCACAGGACTAATGTGAGCAAGGCTCTCTCTCAAACTCACCAGAGATGGTTGGAGATGGTCACTTTACCCAACCTATAGCCTATTTTAATCAGGACTAGTGGTGGGACCTTTGTGGTGATGTTGCAAAGCAAGGGAAAGGTTCAAGAGCAAGATTGGAGATAAGTGAAGCTATTGGAATAAAATGAATGTCAAATTGCTCGCTGCCATGGTTAATTCCTCCTTATAACAGCTTGATCATAATTAGATAAAGGTTGACCAGGCTTAGTCTATTAGACCCTTTACTATTCATGTAAAATGGAGAGTTTTGAGCTTGCTAGGAATATAAGTAAATAGATTAATAACTGTGGAAGTAAGCTATATACTAATGAGAAGGGTACGTAAGCACAAGCACCATTTATTAATGCCCTCATTGATAATTAAATTAATAGAAATCTCTCTCTCTCTTACTCTCTCTGTGTCAGTAAGCTATCTACTAATCTAACATGAGGAGGGTAAGTACAAACACCATTTATTAATGCCCTCATTGATAATTAAATTAATATAAATCACTATCAGTAATCCTATTCACCTTAATAATTTATATCAACTGATAATTAACTTTATTAGAATTATCCTATCACCAACTCTATTTAGCTCAGTGAATTATCTTTTGTATTTTTTTCAGTAAGTTGAAGTGGAGGAATGCATCTGGACTATTGTGTGATTGGAAGGTACCCTTCAAACATAAGGGAAAATTCTACAAGATGATGGTGATTAGACTTGCAATGCTTTATGTCGCAGAATGATGGCCATTAAAGAAGAAGCATACAATTAAGTTTTGCATAGATGGATAAGTGGCTTCACTCTTATAGACATATTACGAAACAAGTATATATGTGAAAAGGTTGCTAGTGGTAGATAATATTAGAGAGAGTCGCCTTAGATGATTTGGTCACATAAAACATCGACATTTTGATGATCAGGTTAGGAGACTAGAGATTATATTTAGCCTATATATGATGAAAAATATAGAGGTAGAACTAAAAAGTCTTAGTTAAAAAATATTAGAAATAACTTTTTATTAGGTTTAAATGAGAATTTGATTTTTAATACAATACAATGGAGAAAAATGATTCATGTAGCCGACCCCACGTAGTGTGATATAGGCTAGCTGAATGTTATTGTTGGTCTTTTTCTACAATATATTCCTGCCCATTTTCTATTTTTAACCCTCCCAACATAATATCTTATGACTTACTTCAATGTCCTGAAAATTTATCATGAATTCACGATATATTTAGGAAGAGAATATTAAAATTAAAAACAAAATAGAAGTACCTGAAATTTTGTAACTTTGAGGTGTAAAAAGAGTCTGCTACTCCTAACTTACTCGTCTTCTACTGTTCTTACTGCAGGTGGAGGCTCTTTATAATAATTAACAATCTCCCAACGATTTTTAAGGTTCTAACAGGAACTGCACTACTAAAAAATTTGGCTTTCGCAGCATTTTTTATGACCTACAGCAGCGGTTTAAACACCTACTAATTTATTTGCAGCGGTTTAAAAACCGCTGCACATCCGCTGTATTTACTTTCGCTACAAAGGTTTTAGCAGCGGTTTCATAAATGCTGCTATAGGAAAGTTTTAGCATCGCTTTTTAATAGGCGTTAAAACCGCTGCTAAATGATAACACTGATTAAAAATATATATATAATGCCAAAAAAAATAATTTTTTTATCAAATTATAAATACACATAAAATTAATCCAAGCATATAACCCTTTCATCGTTTCCAAACTTCATAACAAAGTTCCTTAATTTGAATATCCTACCAAGAAATCATGGAAAAAGTATGTCCTTATGCATAAAAACTTAACATAATATCCACAAATCTTAGTCTTACAATTAAATAATATCCACAAATCTAACGCCTATGTAATAGAATTACAATCTCTGAGTAGTAGTCTTCTACACCCATCATTGGAGGAACATCCTTATAGTTCTTCGGACCCAGCAGGCTAACAACCACATTCTTCACATTGAAAATGGGAGGGTAGAATTGTTAATTCTCAAAGAAGTATAATGAAGCAGAGCATTTATATACACTACTGCATTACAATGACCTGCAAGTCAAAGTTAGCTGACAGTAAGCGAGTGGCTATAAGAAACTAAGGCTTCGTTTGGGATGGCTTTCTTACTACTTCTTAAAGCAATTTTTTTGTAAAAATAAAATAAATTTTTTATTAAAAAGCTACTTTAAGAAGTAGTTAGAAAGTCATCGCAAACAAAGCCTAAAATCAGGTTGTCAATAGTTTTACTAGCATAGAAAATGAAGAGCTTTAAAAATATCTTGATTCCTACATCCTCTACTCTTTGCCTGAGCTTATGAAGGCTAGCATTTGAGAAAGCTTTAGAAGTTCCGCCAAGGATGGCAGACTCTGGAACCAGGTCCAGATTGCTCCCTCCGTTCACTTCTGCCACTAAGACAACCTGACAAGGAAATGGAAATAAAGCTTACAGATGATGAAACGTTACACAATTATAAATTCTATTATTTTAGTGAACTAAGTAAGGGTATTTAGTGCATACACAAATACTGGCTTCTAATAAAAAAGTATATAGCTTGAAAATACCAAATCAGGATAATCCCTTGAAGTTAAGAATTGCTCTCAGTTCTCCTACATGAGTTGCTTTTAATATGTCTTATAAACCATACTAAAATACAATACTCAATCCAATTCATTGGCAAGCCTCAATCAATTCTCTAAGCTCTAACCAATCAGAAACAATAGAACACTCAAATTGATCAAGTAAAAACCAAACAAAAAGACACGACAATATATATCATCCATTACCTCTTTAGCAGAAGATGAGTTGCTTCCCTGCAACAAAGGCAGCCGGGCCAACCCTCTCTATGACTTGCCTCAATGTCTACAAGTACAAAAGGAGAAAACAGTAAAATTTTCAACATGAAAAATATAATAATATAGAAACTGCAAGAACAACACATAATTTTTTTTTTACCGAAAATCCCACGGTTCTGCATCCCAGCCTCTGCCTAACGACTCCCAACATCATTCTGTCAAATAGAAACAAAAAATTTACTCGGGGCTTCCTTCGTGGTAGTCATCTTCCAGGCTGTGGAAAAATGAGAAAGGTTGTCGATATAGATTTCTTTTATGCTGCTTCCATTATCCTTTAGTAATCTGTTTCTCTTCTTGCTTTCTACTGCAATGAGGATGATGGCTATGATGCAGAAAATAGAGAAAACAAGCCCCAAAGACATGGATCATGATAACATATTGTGGCCTAAATTCAACACCATGAGATAATACATGCTGCCAAGCTCTCTCGGGATTTCACCGGTAAGATGATCTCGCAGCTCCCCGCCCATGCTAGACCCCATTTGATATCAATCCATACAGAAGAAGATTGACAGCTCAAATTCTTTCTCTCAATTTTTACTTGATCACCAAATCACTAACGAAAAGTTGTTGAAATGACAGAAGTTGAACATATATCACAAAAATTAATAAATGAAGCATTGTTGACAAGAATTTAGAGTAGAAATAACAAAATTTGTGCTAAGTAACAACAAATACCGTTGTACAAATGACGTAAGTTGTCAATAAAAATTTAGAGTAGAAATGACAAAAGTTTAACATACATCACAAAAATTACAATTTATAGCCAAACAAACAAAATTCTTATAACATTTCAAAACAAACAATCGACTATACATAATGAAAATATCGTGTACATTTATATTATATATTCCCTTCTTCTACACCTTGGATGTCAATTAGGCGAAAATTGATCATTATCTCCCTGTTATTAATATATAAGTCATCAGAAAAACTAAATATGATAAATTAATTAATAAATGAAAATACGTAATTTTTTTATTTTACATACCATATTTGAACTTTTTGGTGGCGGATGTTGTCCCTGGTATTTATTCATGAATTGTCTCATCTCACTTTGCAATGTTTGTACCACCCCCTCAAGTCTTACAACTCGATCAAATATAGTATTGCCTCGACTACTACTTCCTGGATTCGTGGTGCTACAAGGAAAATATCTGCTTGGAATAACCCCAAAACCTTGTGTTCGTACCCTCCCTGGGTGTTTTGGCCCCATGATCGCCTTGAAGACTTTTTCATTGGCTTCAAAATTTCCATCTTCTGGCGTTAACCCTTCTTCGGCAAGCATTTCAGAAGCATGTGCCTAGATTTAGAAATATATATATATTAGCATTCATTAAACACCTCATGTGAAATGCTTACGATTTTACCCATTTTTGTCTGGCCTCCTCAGATGACCATGATCCATTTTTACGCGTGCGATTGATTTTCCATAATAACAGACGATCTCGTATAGACTGTAAAAACTAAAATTCAATTTCCTTCATATAAATATAAATATATCAATAATTGGAATACATACTGTTTCTTCCTGTCTCCTTACGGAGCTCACCCGACCCATCGTATGCGGACACGTTTGTTTTTTTGCATTTTCCACATTTCTTGCTGCCCTCTCCTACAATAAATAATCATCATATTAATTTCAATTTTTAAGAAATTCAATAACGTGATTTATTTAGCTAACTCACTTTATCCTGAGGTTGTGACCATCTACTAACAAGCTGACACCACTGCACTGGATCTACTCCTGCAGGGACAGTCTCCATGATCTTCTGTAATGGTCTACTATCCCAGTGCTTTGCCTTCAATTTAGTTTTGTAGTTGCGCCACTTGGAACCAAGAGATTGTAGTATCTAATGTTTCATACTTGCGGGTAACTCAAACTTGACCTAAAGAATGTTAAATGATTTTAATTATCAAACAAACATAAATTACGTATGATTATTTGTTATGACATTTACCTCTACTTCTGCTAGCATCCTCTTTTTAAATGGTTCCATACCTTTATTACGCCAATTTGCGAATGAGATTGGTGTCAAAATAGGATCTCTAGCTACAACCCCTAAGTATGAACCAAGTATAATAGACTCTGGTATATTACATGGCACCATATTCTCATTGACTTCAATGTGAATCTGTGTACCTGGTGGCATGCTCTGTATGTCTGCACAAGTAGTTCGGCCTCTCTTTTTTATCAGAGCACCCTCATCATCTGAAAAAATAAAGATGTAAGAAGCAAATATATTATTAATATTAAAATTGAAATAAATAAATAAGAGTTTTAAGTGAAGAAACACCTATGAGCCAAATTCCATCATCCATCGATGGCACCTGCCGTCTTAAATCTTGAGATGACTGACTCGGAGATTGTTCGTTGTTATTGCAGTCAGTAGCATTGGACAAATCTGGATGCATCAGAGTCGATGCATTATTAGAAGTTCTACTAATCTACTCTATACTGGAAGTTCCTCGACGTGTAACTTTTTTAGCACGTCGGAATGAGCCGCTTCCTATCATTCCTATTAGTATAAACAAAAATCATATGAATGATTATAACTTCATGGACAACAGTAGTCACAACACATTTTATTAAATAACAAAAAACAAAAAAGCATTAACATGCTATTGCAATGAAAACAATTTCCTACAAATGGTTCAACATGAAGTGGACTGATTATACACTTCAAATGCAATGTTGATATCATCAGCTGAACAAATGAGAACTAATTCGAGCAATATCTTCCAAGATCCTACACTTCATGTGAGCTGTATTGAAATGTTACAGCTTGTGCACAATTCAAATATATCCCACCATAATTTAAGCAGTATTTCCAAAGCGTCAAAGGGATTCACCAGCTCATTTTTTTAAGCCAAGTGGTAGGTTGATACAGGATTCACAACTATAATAAGAGAAGATAGATGAGCTAGAATTGCAATGTAACACCTATGAATCAGTACCACACCTTACAAAGGCCTACTCATATGATACTTGCTTGAAATGTACCTTGCATTCAATACAAAATAAGTTTAGAAACCCTCAAAATCAGTACCACAGCTTACAAAGGCCTAATCGTCAAATTTATTTCTAGCCCAGAAGTTTAATACTATTGATGAGGACCAATTATTTGGTATTTCTAAAACAACCTATTTTTAATTAATCCGATGTAACATTAAATCCAAATCAACTCATGCCTTAGCATGACGTATCTCACATATTCCATACTTTTTAAGTCATACAACTAAGTTTTTTCATAAATTTTAAATCTAAGCTAATCTCTATATAAGAAAAACTTAAAACCAAACCATTCAAACTTACCGAGCACAAATAGCTGAGGAAACTCTCCAGAAGTGAGGTGTGCAAGAGCAAAAATTGCAGAACTGAGAAGAACTGAAACTGGAGTTGGAAACCTGTATTACAAAATTAGTCTACACATTATGAGAGCAATTTTAAAATTTGATGACGGTTTCTTAGGAAGCACCTAAAAGTTAAATTTCATTAAGGAAAATTAACAAATTACGTACTACCAAACTGAATTTAATGATTGTAGCATACACGTCAAGTAGTGAATAAAGTAAGTTGGTACTTCGAATTTTACCACTTAGTCAAGGACACCATAAACACTGTCTCCTCAAGTAACGGGGCCAAAACACCACTTCGAACACGGGATTCAAAATTTCAACTTGCTTAATATCAATCAAGCTCCGTTACTCATTTCACATTGAAATTAAGCTACCCAAAGATAACGTTAAAGATCAACAAATGATTTTAGCCGCCATTAGCAATCTTTTGGCAAGAAGTTTAAAAAGATGAAAAATAAAATCTAACAGGAAATGTCGAATGCTACTGGAACAAATATCATCCAACATCTTTGAGATTAATGGCAGGTGAGCTTCTTCTCAAAGAAAGTAAAGCATAATAATTATCACAACTCAACGCCAAAGGTGAACTATAGAAAATTATTACTGTATAGTGAAAGAACAGACAAATTCAAATCCAGAAACATAAACATTTCAGAATTCTAGAGAATTTAAAGAATAATTCATCAAAAAATTAACAAAACACCAATACATATCATCACAGCAAAGTAGAGTTGTCAAACATAAGCAAATTTAGTTTTTCATATTAAGGAATATAGATATCCACGAAACATATTCCTAAAAGTTCATAGAGCAAAAGATCGCAGAGCAAAGGAAATAAAATCCTAAGCATGCTCGCCTCTAATGCGACGGGCAAGTTGAATGTCATTGGGTATGAATGAGGATGGACTTAAAATAAGGATGAACTTACAAAATATAGCAATTTCTATATTTTGTACTGAATGCAAGGTACATTTCATGATCATTCAGTTAATTTCACTCAAAGGCTGAACAAAGATGGACTTAGAAACCCTCCCATAAAGATCATTTGAATAAAAATAAGGATGCAACTCAAGTAATTTGAGTCTCTAACTATAGATTTGAGCTACTCACCACCGTTGCCCTCTAAATTTTATATGTAGTGACATGTGATACATATAATTGGAAATGAGTTAGAAAACAATTATAAACACACAATATAGTAACAAAAGTGATAAACATGAAGATAAGAAAAATTTTCATCCATAGCAGAGTAATGTGGGAATTCAATCACTTATAGTTGAACAAATAAAAAAACCAAAACAAACATTATTTTCACAAGAAACATTCAAGACATTATTGTTTGACAGTAACTGAGAAGCAAGACATTTAAAAAGTCCAAGTTAGAAAGCCATGTATTGCACACAAAAAATTCACAAGATTCTAATCTTGATTCACATGAACTTTGCATAAATTTACATATGATTGTTTGGTTGAGAAATGCTTGAATCGAACACATCTCTAGCCTTTACTGGTAAGACAAAGTTCCAGTTTTTTTTCTTTGGATCTTCGATGAAAAACACGGGCTCAACTTGTGATGAGAAAACAAATGGATCATCTGCCCATTTATCACCTGTGTGTATTAATCGTGAAAAGTTAACCAATGTATTCCCGTAATGATCTACTTTAGTGCCGGCTGAAGTTGTGTTAGCCCAATCACACTTGAACAAGACCACACGAAATTAGTCGGAGTAATTAAGCTTAATAATATCATTCAGTCGACCATAATAAGAAAAATTTCCAACTTCAGTTTTGTTAACAACGCCATAATTTTGTGTTTTCTTGTTCTCATTGCGATCTTTAGTATGAAATTGATACCCATTAATATAAAATCTTTTAAATCTTTGTGTGATTTGCTTAGGACTAACCGCGAGGGCTCTAATTTCTTCTGAAACTACTGAATCATATGTATATATAATCTAAACAAAAAAAATTCTTAGTCAAATTAGGCATATAATCTTAAAAATGTGTAAGGAAAAGTTTTGATATCTTACTCTTTGTTTAAACCAATCATGAAAATGTTCATTAACAAGTTTATCAAGAGCTAATGACGTTAGAGGAACGTTGTTGGCTCTTTTTTGTCTCTCTTCCTCCTTGTACAGATCAATATTACATATATAT